CCCCAAAACCCCAAAACCCCAAAACCCCAAAACCCCTCTAGAAGCTTTTTTTGATATAATTAAAGATGAATTACAAATTTTATGGCATCAAACAGGCTGACCAGGTCGTTAAAACTGGCAAGTCGAGGATAAAAGCACTTATATCGTCAGTATTTCAGAGAGTCAATTCTCTGCAGGTTTTCCAAAGAATAAAACCTAAGAAATATGATAAAATGTACACATATTTCGTCTTTGTTAAGAACTTCACTTTTGCAATAATTTTGATAGCAGGAGTGTTTGTTATTGTGAAGGCAATCAGAGAGTCCCAGAAAAGGAAATGGTCTCTTCTGATGGCCCCTTTGTACTATCTCAGGATTAAAACACCTCCTCTTATAGATCAAAGAGCAGAAGCTTTACAAGCAAAAGTTGATATGGAGAACGAAATTTTAATCGATATGCTTCTCAGACAGATATTCAACAGAGAAGTTCCTGATGAAGACAGTCTTGATCAAATGATCCCTCTTGAGGAACATAAGAACAAATTTGTTATTCCTTCACATGGAAATGAAGACTCTACCCATCCTTGATCATGACCTCCAAATGATGAAGAATGGGCGGAATGAAGTAATGGAAACATCTCTGAAATTATGTATACAAATGACGTAATCGATGAAGACCCAACATCCATCTACCAGCAGAACATCAAAGAATACCTTAGTTTAATCATGCATAATGACGATAGCTGAACGAGGCATCATAAGATCAAGGAGAAGGTAATGCTGCAGAAGAAACTTGCTATCTTTAACAAAGCATATAAGGACCTTTGCTCGAACAATCTTGGTCATCCTTTGATCTCGCATAATATGAAGAGAATTGGGGATGAGAAGCTCAGATCTCTGTTTTCCAGGAAAATTTATCCTAAAATGTCCATGATTAAAAGACAAAACTCTCGTAGGAAAAAGAAATTAATGTCTTCAAGCAACCCTCAGTCTCATCAAAATGAAGTAAATTCTCAGAAAAATCTCAATTTCTTTGAAATTATGAGCCAGCTAAGCAATAATTACATTGAGAAGCACTAAAGTAAAGTTAACTTCAACTTTGTTTTAAGAAATAGGGGTTTTGGGGTTTTGGGGTTTTGGGGAGAT